GGGTTGGGCGGCCCCAACCGCCTGCCCCCCGCAGCTGGCCAACCGACACAGACAGACCCCGTACTGCGGCCACAAAGCCCCCTTGAATCTGACAATTTGGGCAGTCATCCACGGGTTCACATCCAACCTGCAGTGGCCCGGGCGGCACCCCCAACCCCCAGTTCCCAGCCGCCCCTGCGTTTTCCCCACCTTGCGCGCCTCGACCTTCTTGGTGGCGTTGTCCAGGGTGTCCTGCGTGACCACAGGCTTCAGGTCCACATCCAGCTGGTAGCGCGTGGGCATCAGGTGCTGGTAGTTCACGACCTGCATTGGAGCACGTGGACCATCGAGTATCATTTGGACATCGGGGTGGACATGCGGACCGGGCTGATTGAGGGGCAGATTCGCTGTCACGCGCAGCCGTTGCTGGAGGTTCAACCGCTGCAGTGCCTGTCGGCCGGCAGGCAAACGCCAGTGTGTGGCACGGCTGCTTGCCCTGCGGCCGCGACGGCTTCGCCCTGCCCGTCTAGCGCGGCTGCACGACCTCTCCCAGCAGCTGCCCTCCACTGCATGGGCCATCCGCAGCTGCGCACCTTGATGAAAGTCTTGATGCTGGAGCGACGCGCCTGGGTCTTCTTGCTAGACCGCTTAGTCACCTGTGCCGCCGCAAAGGGTAAGAAGGTGCAATGTGTTGTAGCACAACAACATGACATGGGGGCCGCCTGGGTGTGCGTAGCTGGTAGGGCACCAGCCCATGGATAGTGAACACAGCCGCTAACAGTGCGAATGACCCCCTTGGGTTCGCTTAAGGCTGCACTTGCTGTGCGATTTGGCAGCCATGCAGCCGTGGCTGCAATAAGCGGACATCTTGCTGGGCCAGCGCCCTGGCTCTGCCGCAGCTGCTACCAGTCCAAGCTTCCAAGGTCGGCGCAGCGGCGCCAGCGCCGCGACCAGCGTTGACACTGCTGCACGGCATTGTTGTGTGCCGCCACCTGCCGGGCTCACGACAAGCACGTGTTGCTGGTCCGCGCTGCCGCTCAGGGCGCGATGCTGGCTGGCCGCCCGTGCTGGCGCAGGAGCCACAGTGATCACGGACGGGCGTGTACTGCGGCATCCCCCGCGCCACGCTGTGCATGCCTTGTGGCCGTGCTGTCCCTAAGCCCTGGCGCACTCACCACGCAGCTCAGCGTGACTTGTCTCACGGCGACAGCAACACCGCATGCCCCAGCCAGCTCTTCAGGGCCGATGTCCCCACCAAGCTGCTGTAGCAGGTACGACCCTTCACCCCAGCCGCCCGACCGCACCATGCGCCGCCACCCGGCCGCGCACCTTCCGGGGCTCCTTGCTGAGGCCGCAGACGAGGGCGTGGCCATAGGGCCGCGCGCTGTTGCCGTCGTCAAAGTTCTTGACGATCACGGCCTTCTTGCCGGCATACTTGCCGGTCAGAAGGATCACCACCTTCTGGGTCTGCGCACCAAGCCGGCCGCAGCACGTTGAGGGGCTTCAATGCCTGCCTCGAGGCAAGCACCACCCGCAGCAATGGCCGCGACCGCCGCGCCAGGTGGTGAAGCTTGCAGCCGCTGCTCAACACTGCAGCTGCACAACCTCAACACCATACGCTGCGTTGATATAGCAAGCTGTATCAGAAACCGCGTGAGCACTCCAAAGAACGCGCTGCACACCACTGCCGCGACTGCTGCAGTCGAGCCCCCAAGCAGTGGCTGCCGCCCGTAGCGAGTCCCATGCGATCTCGTGTTTGTCTCAACGTTTTCACTAACAAAGTGTTGCTGAAGCGCTCGCGGGCGGCCGCCTTCGATGCCTGCGTCCCCAGCGCACCTTGAGGAACTTCACCATGGTGGCTCCTCTCCAAACACAAGGCGCCTAGCGTGAAAGAGGGGGAGGCACGTGGAGCGCCCGGGCCTTGTCAGTCGCAGACCGACCGGCTGGATCCCAGCTCGCGTTGTGAATGGTGATATACACCGGAAGCAACTTCCGCTGGTGATTCCCATGCGCCAATGTTTCTTTTGCTTTCGCAGGGTGACTTAACTCGAGCTAGGTCAGACGTCGCTGTGTGCAAACTCGCTTGACGGTGCTGAATCGGCAACTCACTGCTCAGCAATGCCAGCATGAGGAATGACACGGCACGGCCGCCCTTGGACTGCATAAGCCACTTACTGTTTGAACAACTCAATGTGTCAGGAACACTGGGTCGACAGAAATTGCGGCCATGCTATGCTGGTCAAGCCGGGTGGTCAATGGACAACGCTGGTGCAGATGACCGTTGTGTGAGAGGGTATGCCAGACCGTCCTGTGAAATGATGAAATACAATTACATGTGTTGTGCTGGATAACCACTCAACACTGCGCAACGAACCAGACATCGCTCGTAACACGCAGTTCACACAGCCGGAGCCCTGTGTGTTGCAGGGCACGAAGTGCGTGTGGAATGTATGAGTGCACAACGGTGCCAGTGCAAACTTGAAGGCAATCTGCATGCATTTTGAGCGCATGGCGCGGCTCGAGTGGCCATGTGGTGGTCGTGCAGCAAACGTGCATGCGAGGGGCACTGCACCATGGCCACCGCTGCCGCCCATCATACGTACACTGCGCTGTTGAGCCAAAACCTGACCTTGTTGTTTCTTGAGTACGCATGTTTTAAACATCTGCGACTTCCCATACATGTGATCTTGCTTTTCGAAATGAGCCGCGATGGGTGGTTTGTAACAGGTCCTGCTGGTCCAGTGGGTCCGTACAATGTAGAAGCTCTGATAGGTAAGGCCCACTGAGCGTACCGTACACGCGGCTGTCTGCAGGGCGTCAGCAACGCCGACCTCACCGCTGCGCTGTGCTGCATGCTCTCCGCACCTCCCGACATCCCTGCAGCGGGCGTCGCGGCGGGTGGCATCACCGGCGCGACACCCGTATGGCGGGAAGGCCGCAGCAGCTGGGACAGCCTGGTGGATGTACCAGAGTTGGCAGAGGTGCTGATGGCGGCGCCACCCACGCGCGACTTTGCGGGCGCGCGAGACTTGAAGCCGCCCCTTTCCACTGCCACTGCAGCAAGCAATGGCAGCACTGCCAAGTGAGCGTTGCTCTCAAGTGATTCAATTATTTGACGCACATGATTGTGCCTGAATTGATCAATCCACGCAAATTCGCCCTGTTGCTGGTCTCCATGCAGCAACGAGTGTCATGCTGACCCCGCGAACACTCGCCCCGGCCCTTGATACTGCTTGCAACTGTGGGCGCCGCCGCGGCTGTTGCGCCATCCTCTAGGACACCAGCCGCAGCGACAGAGCCTGCGCCTCCCCCGGCAGCTGGAGAAGTGGACACCTCGGACCCCCTGGCAGCCTTCCAGGCTGAGATTGCCGCAGTGGAAGCGGAGGTCGCGGCGGCGGTCGAGGCCGAGGCAGGTGTGGGCAGCGGCCACACCGAAGACGCAGGGGGACCGGCGACGCCTGAGGAGCTGGAATTTGAGGACGACGATGGGACGGTGTACGTTTGGGACGGGGCGCTGCGCAAGTACCTTCCGAAAGACGCAGGCACAGCAGCGGCAGCGGCGGCGGCGGCATCTGGTGGCGGGGACGCGGGCGCGTATGATCTGGAGGCGATGACGTTCGCGGCTGACGACGAGGTGCTGCCGACGCTGGCGGGCGCCAAGGCGGCTGTTGCGGCGGCGGCGGGGGCTGAGGGGGTCGGCGAGGGCGAGGCAGCGGCAGCGACCGAGCGGAAGGTGGGGGTGGCGTGGGGATCGGTCCGAGGCGGTTGGAAGGGGGCTTGCCAGCACCCCTCGGGGCGTCCTGCCCTGGAGCTGATTGGGCAGGTCCGTGGACACGATTTACACCAGCTGACTCAGCACAGACCGCCAAGGCGCTCTCGCTGTTGTGCGTCTCTCCTGCTCCTGGACCCCTGACAATTCCACTTGTCCCACCTCACCCCAGTCCACCCCCACCACAACCCACTCCACCTTACATCAGCGCAAGCGCGACGCGATCGTGGCAGACCACAAGGACAAGATGGCGAAGAAAGCCGCCGCGAAGAAGGAGCACGAGGAGCAGCAGCGGGTGGGCATGGGCTCGGCAGCATCCGTGTTCCCCTCAGGGTTTGCGCAGCAGGGTCAGAGTTTGAAAAGACTCAGCCGACACCAACTAGTTCCTGTCTGCAAAAGCGCCCGATACGTCCTTCCTGTCTCGATGAAGCTTGAATTCCCCCTCCTCCGCGTCCTGGGCGCTGCGAACCTGCTGCCGCCTGTCAGGGCTGGTTTGAGTTGAAGAACAACACCAGCGTGTACGTCAACGGGCTGCCGTTCGACACCAACGAGAAGGAGGTGGCGGCGGTGTTCTCCAAATGCGGCCTCATCAAGGAGGGGCCGGACGCGCAGCCACGTGTCAAGCTCTACAGGTGAACGAGGGGGCAAGGGAGGGGGGTCATCCAATGTGCGTTGGTGTGATAGCGTTTGCCAAGGGACAGGGGCATTGAGGCGGCAGGTGGAGCGCGTTATTCTGGTGGCAGTGGCGGCGCCGCGGTCTTTCGCACTGCCCCTTGACCATTTCGCTGCGAGTTACGGAATGTGCATTGCGCTCGACCCATACTTCTCTTCACAGGGACAAGGACGGTGGCGGGCTCAAGGGCGATGCTCTGGTGACGTACCTCAAGGCCCCGAGTGTGCAGCTCGCGACCACGCTGCTGGATGGCACGCCGCTGAGGGACGGTGGCAAGCCCATGAGCGTCACGCAGTGAGCAGTGGGGGGTGGGTGGAATGAGAGAGGGACGCTGGAGCAGAAGGTGGGCAGGGAATAAGGCTTCAGCACAGTGGAGGCTCCCCTGGTTTTGTTGGGGAACAGCAGCATGATGTCACGCAGATCGCTCACACAGAACGCTGTTGCCCAAAAAAACGCATGAGGCATGCGTCAAGACACACACACTCTGTTTTTCAAATTTGTGCAGGGCCAAGTTTGAGATGAAGGGTGAGGCCTACCAGGCCAAGGACAAAGCCACTGCCCCCGGCGGCGCAGGCGCACAGCAGCAGCAGCGAAAGCGGGGCCCAAAGGCCAAAGGAGGCAATAGGGCCAGCACAAAGGCGCAGCTAGACCGGCTGGAAAAGAAGCTGGGTTGGGGCGGCTTTGACGACAAGCTGCCGCTGGAAAAGGTATGGTGGCCGCTGATGTCATTGATCCGCTGGTGCCATTACATTCGACCTCATTGGAGTGTGACTGGGCTCTTGCAAAGCCGCAACATATCCACATGGGCATGCATGCGGGCTTCGAGTCGTGTGGTAACAGAAGGTGTGAACCGAAAGCGATTTGAAATCATTCTGACTCAAGCCTGCGTCAATAAACACCCTGCCAGATCACTGTGATCTTGACCGGTATGTTTGACCCGCGGGAGCTGGAGTCGCAGCTGGGGGCAGCGGAGGAGCTGGAGGTGGAGGTGAAGGAGGAGTGCTCCAAGATGGGACCTGTGGACAAGGTGTGCTACAATCGCAGCTGATTGTCGTAACAAGAAGGCGTGCTTATGTTCACTGACAGCTGATGCAGTGTTGCTTGTCTGCCTACATGCTATCTCCTTATCCCATCAATAACGTGCATGTGTTGCAATACCCCTCCGCCCCACATACACACATGCCTACATGCTGCTAACGCTGCCCACTTGGAAAAGCTGCCCAATTCTTCCAACCCGCACATCTGCTACCTGTGCGGTGCCGCTCCCTTAACATCACGAGGTCCGAGTGTTCAAGGGCCACCCCTTGGGCGTGGTGAGCGTGCGCTTCAAAACCGAGGAAGGCGTGCAGGCGGCGCTGCAGCGGCTGGACGGGCGCTTTTTCGGCGGTCGGCGGATAGGGGCGGCGCTGTGGGACGGCATCACCAATTACAACTTCAAGGTGGGGCGTCGCGGGTGGGGGTGGCAGTGGCGAGATGGTGGGAAGCAGCGCGACTTGAAGGGTGTGATGGCCTCCCCCAGTAGGTATTGGTGGTGGCAGGCCAGAAGAGCAACCAGGGCGGCTGGAAGGCTGGATTGCGCAGGCTACTTGCTGCAGCACAAGAAGCGTTCATGCGTCGGCTGCCTCCCACATCCAACCGCTCCAAACCCCACGCAACTCGGCTTGCGGCGCCCGCTGCCCTGCTCGAGAGAAGCCCGGCCAGGCCTGGTCGCATGCCCGCCACATGGCACTGCCTGCGCCCCCCTGACAAATCAGGTGAAGGAGACACCGGAGGAGGAGGCCGCGCGGCTGGAGGCGTACACACGTGACATGGAGGCCAAGGCCACCGCCGCTGCTGCGGCGGCTGTTCCGGAGGCAGCAGCGGCGGCGACAGGGGGAGGCAGCACGGGCACGGGCGAAGCCGAGCCGATGGATTTAGCAGCGAGCTAACACGGGCTGGTGTAAGAGTTGTTGACAGTTATTGCATGTTCGATGCAGGCGGAGCACCACATGCAAACAAGGGGGACGCCGGCAATGCAAAGGCAGGGGGGAACAGGGCGGAGTGGTATGATCGGCTGTTCAAGCCAGCCGTCAGTTCAAGATCGTGGCTTAGTATCGTGGGCGGCATGTTTCGGGTTTCATTCGGCAGCATGGCGCAGTTCAGGACTCAGGGCACAGACACTTGTGCTGGCTTGCAGCCCTGTGCCCCAGCAGGGTCAGGTGCATGCCTCGAAGCAACCCCGCCAATTCATGCCTTCATTATGCACCAAGACAGCTCGCTTGATGCCTGTTCTTGGTGCTCGGCGGGCGGCGCGTCTCCTTGTGCTCTGCTGTGCTGTGCAGGTGGTGTGTGCAACAAGGCAGGCGCATGGCAGGTGCAGGTGCAGGGCCTGGAGTCGCGAGCATCGTCTTCGTTCGCTGGGCCATCCGACCGAGGATCATTCAAAAGTGCATACACTTTACTTTCGCTGGACTTTCGACGCTAAAGCGACGCGCCGAACCTGCCAGATCACTGCTGCCCCCACATCCGCCAGCCACCATGGCCGCCGAGCACCAAGAGGAGGAGCTTCTTGATTACGAGGAGGACGAGGTGGAGAACGCCGGCGATGCCGGGGCCAAGGCGGACGGCCAGAAGAAGGGGTACGTCGGCATCCACAGCACGTCCTTCAAGGACTTTTTGCTGAAGGTGAGCTCAAATAACATGACCCCTGCGTACCCGGAAAGTGGCTGGTTGGTTGGCCCACACACGGCTCCCGCCAGCGATCTCACTCCGCTCGCGTCCCTACGCATGCATCCGGCGCAGCCCGAGTTGGTGAAGGCAATCGAGCACTGTGGCTTTGAGCACCCCAGTGAAGGTGCGGCACGAACAGGGCAAGGGCGCCCGGCGTGGGTCGACGTGACGCTGCGGTGGCGGGCTGCCTCCATGCAACATGGTTGCTCTGAAGATGTGGCACGTTGAATGTGTCTGCCTGGGGCTGCATAACGGATCTCCGGCCAGCATGATGTTCCTTGGGCATGGCGCTCGCCTCACTTTCGGACGCACACCTCGCCCCGCCTGCGCCTGCAGTGCAGCACGAGTGCATCCCTCAGGCGATCATGGGCAACGACGTGCTGTGCCAGGCCAAGTCGGGCATGGGCAAGACGGCGGTGTTTGTGATCTCCATCCTGCAGCAGATCAAAGTGCAGGATGACAAGCCGGAGGTGCTGGCGCTGGTGCTGTGCCACACGCGCGAGCTGGCGTACCAGGTGGGACCGGCGAGGGGCCGTGGGCGGCGGAGAGCCTCAATTGACTGCGCGCGCCTTGTGCTCTGGTCAATGGCCAGTGTGAATAGCCGCGCACCATGTTCAGCTGGAATGAGCCGCTGTTATACAAGCCGTTCTGCTGTGTCGAAAAGCCCGCAGGTGCAAGGTGCAGAACGCCAGCCGCCAGAGCACCAGGCGCTCCGCCTCATCACCCTCACTGCCCCCCACCAGATCTGCCACGAGTTCACGCGGTTTGCCGAGTTCATGCCCAACGTCAAGGTGGGCAACTACTTTGGCGGGCTGGACATCAAGAAGCAGCGGGCGGAGCTCAAGGACCACACGCCGGCAATCGTCGTGGGCACGCCCGGGCGCATCAAGCAGGTGCGGGATGGAGTCGCGCTGGCTGAGGGCCGGTGCTGTGCATGCCGCAGGGGCTGGGCGGGGCTCAAGGGTCCGCACGAAGCCCATTGGTTTTTTTGAAGGACGCGCAAGGCTGCAGCCGTGGCCATGAGTGGAGCCATGTCTGGCGGTGCACTGCATGCTCGGCAGGTCGCACTCATTTTATCATCAACGCATCCCATGTTATTCGCAGCTTGCCAACGAGAAGGCGCTCAACATGATGACTGTGCGCCACTTTGTCATCGACGAGTGCGACAAGGTGCTGGAGAAGCTTGGTGAGCCGCGCTCGTGACCGTCGCTATCGGTTGGGTAGACAACAAGATCAAAGATTGAGCACGTCCTGCGCTGCCCTGTGCAGCGGCCTTCTAAAGCAGTGCCGCGGTGGGGACCACAGAGCCTTGCCTCCCCACATTTCCCCAGCCCCATCGCCTCTGCTGCTGGGCCTCAATCATCACCCCTCACCGCCCCCACCCCACCCCACTCCCGCAGACATGCGCGGCGACGTGCAGGACATCTTCAAGAAGACGCCCCACGAGAAGCAGGTCATGATGTTCTCCGCCACCCTGGGCCAGGACATCCGCCCCGTCTGCAAGAAGTTCATGTCCAACGTGCGTGGCCCTGGCTGTGGCTCTGGGACGGGCACCTGCCGGCGCCGGCTGCGGCTCTGCCGCCGGCGCCGTCGCTGACTGGAAGCGCGAAAGCCGGCTTCTTGCCACCCATCGCCATCGCACACGCGCCAAGCGCTTTGCCTGGTTGGAGCACAAGTGCCGGCCAGGGCAGGAGTGGGCGCACCCATGGCCATGCGCCTGGGATCCACAGCCTTGCAGCGTCGGCGCCGGCAGCGCGCTGACGGCAGCAGGGGGTGGTGTTCGCGCTCTCTGCGCCGCCTGCTGCGGCGCTGACAGCTGGCCGTGGCAGCCGCGGCCTCGCGGCCCGTCGCGTCTGCGTTGGCACCTGCGTGTGCGGCCTCCACTTGACGGCGTCTGCAGCCGTCGGCAGTGGCGGCGGCCACACGCCCGATGCCGGGCAGCACGGCGCGCTCCGCAGCCTCCGGGCCTGCCGCACTGAGTGCAGTGTGGCGACGCTGGACCCACTCGTGGCCGCGCACCACCCCCAACATCGGGGAGCGGCACACGCGCGCGCCGCCGGGCCTACCACGCACGCGCTGCACGCGAATCGCACCTTCGGGACGGCTGCTTTAAGAATGACATAACACATGGGTCGCGCGCTTGGTTGAGAAGGATGAGCGGCGGCGCACGAAAGAGGGACCCGACCACACCTGCCCACCTGGGGGCGCGCGCGGCCTTCGGGTACCGTTCAGGCGCGGCGGCCCCGGCTCTGGTATCGGCGACGCGTCGCGCTGCCGTTGCCCGCCCCCCGCGCCTGGCGCGCCCCCATTTTGCCTTGCGACGGGCCCACTCTCACACCACATTCCTCATCTCAACTGCCCGCGCCTGATCGGCAGCGAGACCCCGCCACGTCATCCTCCGAACACCCCCCTTGCCCACCCCTCCCCTACCCTCACCCCCAGCCTATGGAGATCTATGTGGATGACGAGGCCAAGCTGACTCTCCATGGGCTGGTGCAGCACTACGTGATGCTGCAGGAGGACGAGAAGAACAGGAAGCTCACGGACCTGCTGGACGCCCTGGACTTCAACCAGGTGGGGGAGGGTGGGGGCCGCCGAGGGCGGGGGGGCAACCTGTCGTTTGATATGTTGCGGCGCGGGATTGCCATGTATGGGATGCTGAGGACCTGTGAGTTGTGGATGGTGCTCATACCTTGGCTGTGGTGCAGGTGTCGCAGGGTTGGTTTTGCAGACCCGCGGGCTTTGAGGGCGGCGTTGAGGCGCTTGCTGCCGTCAAGGTCGGGCATGTCGATCGGCAAGCTAGTACAACCATCCGTTGCATCTGATCATCAAGGCACACGCATCTAATCATCAAGGCACACGCTCACATTGCCCCCTGGCCACGTCCTCAGGTGGTCATCTTTGTGAAGAGCGTGCAGCGGGCCAAGGCGCTCAACGCACTGCTCAACGAGTGCAACTTCCCGTCGGTGTGCATCCACCGCGGCATGGCCCAGGACGAGCGCATCAACGTGTACAGCCAGTTCAAGGAGAACAAGGTGAGAGGGGCGGGGGTGGCATGCCAACGCCGAGGGGCGCAGGCGGAGGAATACGACGCGCTGTGTATGGGGTGTGCATATGACACCTGGTGCAAATCAATTTTCACAGTGATCCAGCACCCAAACACCGCCCATTCACTCTGTATTGCTGAATCCGACTCACATCCCTCTCCCGCTGGTCAGGTGCGCATCCTGGTGGCGACGGACCTGGTGGGCCGCGGCATTGACGTGGAGCGCGTCAACATCGTCATCAACTACGACATGCCCGTCACGGACGAGTTGCACGGCAACGGCGCGGGTGCGTTGCAGGCGCATGTGCCGCTTGCAAGGGCGCAAGGGAGGAGATCTGGGGATGGAAGGGCGTTTGGTGCGGGCTGGGTGGTTTCTGGCTCAATAAAGCGTGACAACGGGCTGGAAGACGTCCAAGGGCTGCTGCTGTCGGCCTGGCTGCTGCCGTGTTTCAAGCCTGGGCTTCCTTCGGCCCATCACCCTGCACCGCCCTCTCACTCCTAGCTGCCACCGCCACCACCCTCCTGGCCCCAGACACGTACCTCCACCGTGTGGGCCGTGCGGGCCGCTTCGGCACCAAGGGCCTGGCTATCACCTTTGTGTCCAGCAAGGAGGACAGCGAGGTCCTCAACGCCGTGCAGGTGGGAGTGCGGAGGGTGGGGGGACGGCGACTGGCCGCCAGTTTGTAGAGGCATATGGGTGCACAGTGGCATGGATCGTCGCCTGGGTTGCGTTCACTTTGCTCTGCGACTGGCCGGGCCACCTGCTGACGTTGTGAGTTCGAATTTGCCTGGCAGCGCCCCACTTGGCGTCTCGCTGTTCTTGTCATATCCAACGGAGCGTAATCTAATACTCTGCGCCTGCTGTCTGCACCTGCTACGCAACTCCAACAGGAGCGCTTCGACGTGGACATCAAGCCCCTGCCCAGCAGCATAGACGCGTCCACGTACATGAACCAGGCATGAGCACGCTCGAGAATCACGTGACCCCTGTTTGTTGGCTGCAATAGCCGCTCGTGTAACATTTTTGCATGTTGGACTATCAGCACTTTTCAAAGCAGCTCCGGGGTCAAAGTTGGCAACCCGCAAATGATGACAACGGGCTAGAGCGGGCTGCATAGATAGCTGGAATGAAACGCAACCATGTTTGCCAGATGAAAATCTTACCATAGCCATTGCCAAGTCTTGGCTGTGTGTGCTGCGCCAGAACCCCGTTGTAAGTTTTTTTTACCTGTGGGCCCCCGGCACTCTGATGCATGCACATCCATCCGCTCAAGCGCTGACGGCACACAGTTCAAATGGTGCAGTCAGTGCTCGAGATACCAATGCACAAGCGTTCACTCCCCGCTGCTGGTATAAACAGGGTTCGGGGAGCTAATCGCAGGCGCCACCCGAGCAAGCCGCTAGTCGCTGAGGCTGCTCTCGCGTCGTCGCAGCAGTCCTCTGCAAATATTGACCTTCAGGCAGCCCCCGGTAACTGCCCGGCCTACGTAGGAGTGTGAGGGATGGCGGGCGGGCGAACACCCGAAGTATGACTGGCCAGTGGGCTTCCAGGCGAGCCAACTACGGGGCCGCACTTGCACCCTTGGTTGCGCCGGCAGGGTGCCATAGATCCACAGAGCATTTAGAACGGGCCAGGTATGGGCATGGACCGGCTGCAAGGCCCATCAGCTTTCTGAAAGCACTGCACCCTTGCTCAGCCAACACAGGCACACAAACGGACTGCAATGTGGAGGCATCAGCGCAATGGCTGGCGTGCGCTGTGCGCGGCAGTAGCAGCTGCCCCGATATGCAAATCTAAGGATGCAAAAGGGTACAAATTTACAACACAGTGGTGTGAGCAGCTGCGATGCGGCCCGGGCACCGCTGCGGGCCCTGGGGGGGGCCTGGCAGTCAGAAGAGCTTGCGTCAGGTGCCAGCAACCGCTTGGGCTCCGCCCTCGCCCACAGGCGCAGCCGCCGCTGCGACCGCGGCGCGCTCCACCCTCTCCCGCGCCTCAGCCAGCTGCCGCCCCAGCGCCGCCAGCTCGCCCCCCACCGCATCGGCGGCAGGGCACTCGTCAATCATGAGCTCAATGGTGGTGGCTACGCCGTCAGCGGCGCTCGACACCTCCTCTGCATCCTGCGATGCAAGGTGCAGTTGACAGGCGTGGTAGGGCGTAATTGTTTCAACCCAGCGCAGCTGGGTGTTGCACATCCCAACAGAACGTCGCTGGCGCCGAGCTTGAGCTGAAGCAGGGTGCTGCTCGTTGCGGCACGGCGCGCAGAGGCGGTGTTGGTGGACTCAAACGCGTCATGCGGTTGCCACTTGTCAGGCTGAAATGTCAGCCACCCCCTCCGTTTGAAATCAACCCGTCCCCAACCCGAGCCCCCGCCGCGAGCGTCCTCGCGCCTCACACCTGCGGGGGGTACATGGCAGCACCCAGGTCCTCCACGCAGCGCTGCAGGTTGCGAGCGTGGAAGAGGCTGCTCTCCCAGCCTTCCAGCGCCTCACCGCCGCCGGGGCCGCTGACGCCTGCCGTCAGGGCGGACTCTGCGCATGCCGTCGTTGGGGAGGGCGGCGATGGGGGAAGGGCGCTCCCAAATGCAGCTACCAAAACCGGGCTGCCAGCATGGCCGAGCAATCAGCTGCACACAGCTCTCAGCAGCAGCACCGCGTGCGCACAAAATCAGCGCACAGCTAAATTCATGCTTGGTCTACGCTTCAAGCAGCCTTGCAGCACGCCAGCAGACAAGGCCTGTGCGGCACGAGCGCTGCCCACAGCCTCCAACGTGCCCGCAATATGTGCTGCAGCTCCTGTGCTGGCATCCTGCGCTCAACCCACCCTGCAAAAGAGCGCGCCCAAAGGCCTTCACCACCGCGGCCGCGGACTCCATCAGCGCCCGGCAGCTGCTCAGCAGCTCGCGCTCCCGTCCGCTCAGCTCTCCGGCCTCGAAATCCAGGTCTGCCAGCTCGCGCAGGTTGTGCAACCTGCCGCTTGTATCCCCGGCACCAACGACCGCCGCTGCGTCGCCGTTTGCTCCGCCGCCACCTTGTGCGCTGGCGGCGCCGCCGCTGCCACCGCTGCCGCCGCCGCCGCGGCAGGCAGAGCCCGCTGTGGACGCCCCGCCTGCCGCGGCGCCGGCCTCTGAGCTGCCGGCGTCGTCGTCACTCTCGTAGCCGCTGCCGCCGCCGCCGCCGCCGTCCCCCTCCTCCAGCTCTTGCATCTGCGGCACAGCAGACAGCAGACAGGTCGCGCCGTGGAAGAGAAACGCAGCGCTGCAGGCCCGCGTGCCTTGCCCTCGCTGTCGCCCACCATCGCACCCGAAAACCACCTCCACCAGAGAGGAAACAAGACAGCAGCTGCCTCTGACCCTTACACCCCCTCCACTGCTATTGACATCCGGTCAACCTGGTTCATCAACTGCGTTGAACTGCCTTGAGGTGCGGTTCCGCAACCATGCTGCCCCATCCAGCCCCCCACACCTCCCGCAGGGTGTCCTTGAGCACGGCCATCACCCCGGCCAGGGCCTTGAACAGCGCGCCCTTGTTGTCCAGCGCAGCCTTGGCCACCGCGTCGCAGCCGCCCCACACATTGCCAATCGCGCGCTTCAAGTCCCCTCCGCCCTCCTGGGCGCGGGCGATTGCGGGGCGTATACTGTGGAATCAGCTGCGGTGCGTCAATTTTGGGGCCTACAGCCGTGCGGCGCAGTCGTCAAAGCCGTTCCTGCAAATCCAAAGCGGGGGCAGGAGTTGGCCCCTGCTGCCCGGCCGGCTGTGGTCACGCGCACCATGGCCCTGAGCAGGCCTATGCAGGGCTGCACTACACCACCAGCCAGCTTCTTGACGTCCTTGCGCAGCGTGGCCCCGGCCGCGGCGCCGCTCAGCGCGTAGAACGCTGCGCACAGCACGAGGCACGACTGCTGCAGCGCGCCGACGAGCGATGCGGCGACGTCGGGAGCGAGCGACGGGGCGCCGGCCTCGCCGCACATCACACCAACTGCGCAGGGCGTTGTTTATTGTGTGCGCGTTGGTGACGGACAGTGATGCGTGCATGCGGGTGGATCGAGCAGCGGACCACATGGCGGAAGCGGCGGCCACTGGTGACGCACCTTTCGCGGCATCGCTTTTCACGCGCTCCGCCGCGGCGACCACGTCGCGTTTGGAAGGCACATCCCTCTGCTCTGACGCTACTGCACGCTGGCCTAGGGCGTCCAGGGCCGCCTGGAGAGTTGATTGTGCCGATCCAGTGACTTCCAGCAACGCGTGACCCGGCATTATGTTGACACGTTTGAGTAACAGGTTATGAGTATTTGGGGGGATCCGACTGCGGGACGCTAGCATATCGTCCAACGCAAGAAGCAGGTACATGGGTGCCCAGTGCCGAGCGTTCCGCGGAGGGGAGAGCGAGGACAGGCCAACTTTTCGACATGTTTGCTGCACATTCGGCGCCACTTTGTGTGCTGTTCTGCTGTGGCGCCCAACACACCGCTCGCAGACCGGGCCAGCACAAACCCGAGCCGCATTCGAGCACCGACCTTCCGTGTTGCTGTTGCAGTGCACGTGACCTGGGCCCGGCAGCATCGGGCTGAAGGAGTGTGAAAAATAACCTGGATCTATGCCGGTTTACTGCACCAGATATCTGCTGATCGCTTACATCTCCGTGCAGGTTGTGCAGGTCGCTGCGAATCGTGTTTCCCTCCAGTGCCACAGCGTACATGGGGCAGGGCTGCTGCAAGCCGCCGCCGAGCGAGCAGTGGGTGGGCACATGGTGAGAGGGTACATTTCTAGGGTACAGTTTTGACGGCTACACGGCATTGGCGGGAGTGTCGGGGCCCCCACTGCCAGATGCTGTCGTGTCCTGTGCGCCCGGCGAGGTCTGCTTGGCGCTATCCCGCCCCCTGCTTGTGACCTTCGGTACCCTCCCACTGGCGCACACGAGAGCTCTATGTGTACGCACGTGTACACGGAATCGAAACATTACACAATGCTCCCGCGTGCGCGCACGCGCACACACACACACACACACACACACACACACACACACGCACACACACACACACGCGCGCGCACGCACGCACGCGCGCATGCACACACACAGGGTAGCCTACAACCGCAACGGCCGTGTCTCAACGCTCATCATCTGGCCCAATGGCCGCTACAGCGTTACAGAAATCGGCCCCTGCTCTGTCACACGCAACGAGTGCTGCACTTGCTACTGGCGGAGCGATGCCTTTGGCTGCGATGAGAGCTGCTCGGGCTTCAAGGTGCCGTGGAGGCGCTCAACTTGGGACCGGGGAGGCACTTGCGGTATCGCTTGCGGGGTTGGAGGCAAGTGCCGCCAACCTTGATCACCCAACGCATGGCCCGTGCCGCGTGCCGCCGAACGCCGCAGCTCCAGAGTCCCTGTAACGCATCACACGCCCCCCTCTCTGCTCCCCATGAAGGTGTCATCCGTGGTCTTTGAGCCCGAGGGCAGCCAGCGCCGCTCAAGCGCGGTCCTCAACGGAACAGAGTACATCCGCATCGGCCCGGTGCCCCATGTCCCTCGGACACCCTACAACCCCGCGCACCAGGCGCCCGCCAATGTCCCGCCGACAGCGCAGTACATGGACAGCCCCCGCAAACTCACACCATTTGCAGGGGCCGACGGGCTGGGCAAGGGTGAGCATGGGGGCGTGGCCTACCCTAGGATTTGAGGCTGCGCGCATGACAACTAGGCGCTGTGGAGGCCAGTGCGCTCACTGCAGTGGCAACATCGGTGGCGTACTGAGTGCAATGGCTGTCACCTACTTTGGTGGCTCGCCCCCAGGTTGATGCAAATACTTGCCAAAAATTGCTTGTTTGGCGTTGCTCAAGATTTGCAGCATGCAAATATTGTTTTATTACAGCCCTTGAAGCACGAGCGTTGGGCAATTTTCCACGCTGGGGAATTGCAAAAGCATGCATGTAGCATATACAAACTGGCCAAAAAACAGAGAATCAGAAGCCAAAAATGGGCGTATGGTGCGCATTTCAGCGCACCTCCGGTGGCGACGGCAGCTTTCCTGCTGCCTGCACCGCAGGATGCAGGCGTCGGCTTGAAGGCAGCAAAAGCCGTGCACAGGAGGGCAGCCATCATGAGGAATGCCATCAGGTCAGGGGGTCAAAGCGCCTGCGCAGCGCCGTGCGTGTTGCCACCACATCACCGGTCCCTCGGGTTGACAAAGTAGGGCGCTGGCCTCACGTTGACGCCGTACTGTTGGGGAACATGGCGCACGTTGAGCGGTGATAGGGGTCGGACAGCAACACATGCATGCAGGCGTATGTCTGACCGCCTCAGCCCAACTGATTATGATCAATACGTTTTGGGCATGTCAGACCGCCTGCGTGGGCGCACAGGCAAAGGCGGCAAGCCATGTTTTACGAGGTCCAGCCCTGCCCCAACCACAAGTCGGCACACCCCACCCGCTCCTGCCACCCCTAGCCGGCCAAATTGAAGAGTGCACGCACCTCCCTCAGCGCTGTTGCCGCGTCATCAGGCGTGAGCACCAGCCGCCGGTCGAGGTCCTTTGCTTTGCGGCCCTGGCCCGCTGCCGCCTTGCGCTTGGCCAGCTGCACGGCGTCGTTCACGACCGCGGTCAAGAAGCGCTGCCCCGCGACGGCCACCAGCTTCACCCTGTGGCAAACGCGCAAGGCGCCAGGAGGACAGGCAAAGCTCTTATGGTGAATTGCATTGCAGCGGTTCTGAGTGCTGCATGCAGCGGTGGATTACGGGCATGCCCGTTGTCAAAGTCACCGCGCGATTGGCCGCCAGCTCACAGCTGCGGGTCGTCGTCGCAGTTGCAGCCAGCCTGCTTAAAGTGGTGCATCACCAGCTCCTCGGGCACCTGAAGTGTACGTAAGGTGGTGGCAGGGAGGGCAGCCACAACGCAGCAACCGCGGGCCTTGGGTGCAGCGGGAGAGGGCCGTCCTGCTCACGGAAGAACAGCTGTGCGGGAGTGCACATGATGTGCACTCAGATGCCCCACGGTCATCTTAAAGCTGCAGAATTCGGTGCCTTGAGCGCAACATACGGGCCAAGATTTGAACAAAAGAACCCGGCAGCAGCGCAGCAGCGCCCTTGTCAGCTGCGCAGCGCTCACAATGGTGGGGAGGTCTTCCTCTAGCTTGATCAGCAGCTGCTGCGTGGCTGCAGACACGTTACCCGAAAGATCCTGCGTGCCATTCCGCTGGGCCATCCTGGTTGGCGGGCCCCGAAAGGTCGGAAACCTTTTCAACGCGAGATGATCTACGGTATGGTGAACAGCTATGAGCCGTATGAGCACTGATCAATTGTCGAGACTGCACAATGGTAGTTCTTCGCAAGCACCATGTTTAGTGAAGGTGATCACGCACGGTTTTGAGATCTGTACAAAACACTTCCATCCAGGGGTTGCGTGTGCCTGCAAACATACACATAGAACGCAAGTATGCTGCGGCGTCTGGCCGCGCAATGCCTGGCAGCCCCATGGGAGCAAGCATTCTTGTCGACGACGCAGCGGGAGCTCAGCAGCACGGCGGCCATCCCTGGCGCGGGCCTCTTTGGTATCCGTCGCTTGCAGCATCCAGAGGATTTTATAGCGTGGGGCCGGGAGGCCGTGAACAAGTGAGCTAGTCCGGCTGCTTTTCTCTGCTTTTGCATGCCAGCACGGCATGGCTCGCCATTGTGGTGTGGGTGTGCCCAGGTGGTGGTCGCCGTAACAAACGCGCACGCCCCGCCTTCTTTCCTTCTACGTCGTAGATGCAACGAGCTGATTGAGCGCGTGATGGCGGCGCCCCACGACGCCAGCGTGGTCCAATTGATGGACGACATTTCGGACGAGGTGGGGTGCAAGAGGGAGTGGCACGCATCGCGGTGGTGCTGCTCTCGGGCCCAATATCCCCAACCCATGAGCTGCCATCGCTTATGCAGCTGTGAAAACGGGGTTTGTTGGTCCTGAAGCCCACAATGTCGGAATAGGGCAGGCATCAGGCAGCTTGACGACGGCCTGCTTGACAAGGGCGCTGCTCTTGCAAGCGGCAGGCCGCAGCCGCGTGCGTGGCGGCTCTCAGCGATGGTTGGTCCCCTCCGGCCGCTCACCGCTGTCTGCCCACGGCCCGCGTACCCTGACGCCCGCCCCCACCCCCACCGTGGAGCAGATGTGCCAGGTGTGCGACGCGGCGGAGGCGTGCCGCAACGTGCACAGCGACCCCGCGTGGCGCCGCGCGGCGGGGGTGGCGTGCGCTGACCTGGGGGCGTACCTGGCGGAGGTGAACCAGCACTATGGGATGTACGCCAAGCTGAGGGACACCATGGACAGGTGGGCGGGCGGGGTGGATTCTAGGACGGACGGAGGCAAGCACCCAGCCCAGGCTCCAGACTCGGATTCACTGGCGGCTTGATGAAAAGAGGCTGGTATGCCGTGGTCCTGGGCATGCGTTTGATTTGGAGGTGAAGGGGGTGGTGGTCGGTTGGCGGGACCGTGTGCACAGTCGCACGTGGGCACAGGCAGGGGAGCAGCAGCAATGCAAGCTTCTCAAATAAGGCGCAGCTCAACAGCCACAAAACTGCGTGCTCGCTATTGCGCCGGCAGATACCGGCGATCAAAGGAGGCCTCCACCAGCGGCCGGGAGTTGAATGGCGGGGCGGTGCCGGCCGGCAGGACCACCTCACCCCTGCCACTGGTGAGGGAGATTTGATGCGCAGCGCACTCACGACATCGTTTGGACACAGCTGCAGACAGGGAAGCCCATTTATCGCCGCCACCTGCCGTGCGCCTGGTGAAACGCGATGGTCGCTTGGCCTAAGGGAAGCATTGCAATCATCTCCAACACCGCAACAACGCCCTGCAGCCCGTCCTGCGGCGTCACCCCAACCTCCCTGCGCACCTTCCTTCTTTCTTGTACACCACCTCGCCAACAGATGAGCGCGTCTGAGCTGGCGGGCTTTTTCCCAGAGGCCGTCCTGGTGGGCACCAAGCTGCAGGTGGACCAGGAGAAGAGCGGGGTGCACCTGCAGGACGAATCAACGCGCGCACGGCTGCGGCGGCTCATGGAGCTGGGGCAGCACTACCCATCAGCCTTCCAGTCGGCCCTGGTGGGTGGTTTGGGGGCAGGAGGGCTGCCCTGTGCTTGCTGAAAAAGAGGCTTTACCCACCAACACGTAAAGCAACGTGGCTATATGTTGAACCTGACCTTGGTGACTACGTCAGATTCAAGGTACCACGCATTTGGCGTTGCTGCGTTGTGCATTTTATGCCTGGTTGCTGAGGCGACGCCCACCGCTCCGCCGCAGTCCGACCCCAAGCAGCTCGGCACCGCTGATGTGGCGGCGCACCGTCTGCCGCCGAGCTGGCGTCTGATGGCGCGCGGCGACCGCCTGGCGCTGCCGCTGGACGGCGCCAACCTCCACTCGTTCCTGACGAGCGTGCCCAACGAGGACGCACGGCGGCAGGTGCGCAAGCGCCCCGCTCTCCGCACCATCGTCCAGACGCAGCGCCCACGCTTGATGCTGTCTGCGGCGGCTCAGCAGTTGCAGCGCTCCAACATCCCCTGAACCAGCCCGGGCCTGCTGCTGCTGCCGCTGCTGCTGCTGCTGCTGCTGCTGCTGCTGCTGCTGCTGCTGCTGCTGCTGCCGCTGCTGCTGCTGCTGCTGCTGCTGCTGCCGCTGCTGCTGCTGCTGCTGCTGTTGGCAGGCAACATGCGCCCCTGCCACCACCTGGTTCAGCTGTCTTACTTGAAACCTCATGTTGGATTGTGGAATTGTGGGGATGCAGGTGTATATTGCGGGCCACTCCAGTCCAGCCAAGAACATGGAGCTGCTGGACCACATGATAGAGTGCAGGTGAGCGGGCGGGGTGGGGTCACAAGGGGGCATGCCCGGGGGGGGACAGCTGCCGGGCAGGTGAACGGATGTGCCCTCGTGACGTAGTGCTGCGCAAAATTTCGGTCTCCTGGATGTTTTCCTCCCCGCCCCCTTGCCTAGCAACACACCAGAGCTCTCTTCTGCGCGTTTTGACGGTTCCATCTTCAGATCAGACATGGCTACGCTGCTGGGACAGCCTTCCTTTGCCCACCTCAAAGCCGCAGACGCCACCCTGGCCGCCACACCTGAGGCGGCTGTGGCCTTCCTGCACCAATTGGCAGAGGTGAGGGGTGACAAACTCCAGGCAGCCCCGTATGAATTTTTCATGGTGCCTCTGCGGCAGCGCAAGGCTCTGCTGGACGCCTGGCAGGCCAGCAGCAGCGCACCACTGCGTCACCTGCGCCGCTCAGCTGTGCAAATCCAGGTCCTTGTGACCCTGGTGCCACTGGAAGCAGTCCTGTAGAGTTGCTGGCCTGATGCGGATGCCAGGCCCTTTACCGCGCCCTGCCTGCACATCCCCTCCAAAGGGTGTGCGGCCGCTGGCAGACCAGGAGGCAGAGCTCCTGCGCCGCATCAAGGCACGCGACACCAAGAAGCAGGGTGCGGGGCCCGCCGCGCTCACAGGGGCACGGCCAGCCGCGCCCACAGGGGCACGGCCAGGCGGCACACGCGCCACGCGGTCAAAGGAGCCTTGCGTGTCCTTCGCGAAGCCGCCATATACCTCTGACACGGCAGCTGGAATATTGCTGCAAACAGCCAACATACGTGCACTGCAGGATGTTTGAGAGCAGGTGCACCCACTAGGCATGCACCCCACACTACCAAACATGCCCGAAATGCAGCCATCATCTACGAAACACATGCATCCCACAGGTGCAGCCCTCCATGCGTGGGATCTGGACTACTACACAACAATAGCACGCACGCGCGGCGGCGCAACACGCCCTGAGAGTGCGATGCCGTACCTGCACCTGGAATCAGTGCTGTCGGGCCTCTCCACCCTGCTCTCTCAAGTGATGGGGATCGAGCTGCAGGAAGAGCCTGTCGACTGGGGCAACCCTGGAAGCGACAGCAGCAGCAGTAGCAGCAGCAGCAGCAGCAGCAGCAGCAGCAGCAGCAGCAGGGGCGGCGCAGAGGGCTGGGCGCCCGGCGTGCGGCGGCTCGGGGTGGTGGAGCGCGACGGGGGCGCGCGGCTGGGTACGCTGTACCTGGACCTGCTGGGGCGGCCGGGGAAGCTCACAGGCAGCGTGCTGTTCCCCATTCGCTGCGGCCGGCGGCTGCCAGGTGTGGACCGCGTTCGCGGCAGTACGCGTGGTGGGGGCAGGGGTTGGGCATGAAGCATCTGTGTGACACTGATGCAGCCCGCAGCTGCTCATCAGGTGCGTCCCCAGCATCCAGGTATCCTCCATGACATCTGCCCTCAATCCACCATTACAATCCTCACCGCCCCAGACGGCTCTTACCAGCAGCCGATCCTGGCCCTCATCACGCCCTGCGGCCCCAGCCCCGACCGCCTCGCCTTCACGTGGCGAGAGCTGCGCACGTTTGTGCACGAGATGGGCCATGCGGTCCACAACATGGCCTCCAGGACGCACTTTCAGCACCTCTGGGGCACGCGCTGCGCGCAGGTGCGCAATTGCGCATGTGCCCTGATGCACGCTCGTGCAACAAGCCCGGCTCCCTCACCCTCGCTTCCCGCGGCTGGGTCAGCAGCAAGGGGTTGTGCTGCGGCTTGGCCACGCGGCATAGAGGGTCCCAAGGAAAGCAGGAGAGGCTTTGCTGCAGCAGGGAGACGCGACGCATATCTCCCAGCCCAGACGGCTGCTGTCTTTCTAGCTCACCGGCCCACCCGACTCGACCGATTCCTACAGGATGTGGTGGAGATACCCTCGCACCTGTGGGAGCACTTTGTGACAGACCACCGCGCCGTCAGCGTCATCGCACGCCACGCAGCCAGCCGAGAGCCGCTGCCACGCGCGCTGCACTCGGCGCTGCTCGCGTCGCACGGGGCGTTCCCTGCGCTCGACCTGCAGCAGCAGGTGGAGGGGCAGGGAGGTAGCGCCGCCGGCCGGTGCAGGGGGCAGGCAGGGGCTAAGCGCTCGTGCCACACCTGCGAGAGAGGCCTTGTATGCAGCCAGCGCATGCAGACACACTGCGCGTCACTCTCGCGTCGGCCTGGCTTGACACTGCATTTCTAGATCCCACCTGCCGCCTGCCTGAGCAGGAAATCCGTCTGCTTATTGAAGAGTTGATGGTCCCATTGTCGCCCGCCCTTCAGTTGAAGCAATTAATGCAACCCCTTGGCTACGTGCCCATCAATCCAACTCGCAGGTGCTCCTTGCCTTGGTTGACCTGGAGTACTTTGGGCGCCCAAGCAGCAGCAGTGTCAGCAGCGGCGGCGCCAGCAGCAGCTTGAGGGCTGACTGGCGCCCATCGTCTCAACCGGTTGACACCAGCGCTGTATGGGCAGAGCTGTCCGCCCGCCACTCCAGCATCCCCCACGTCCCCGGCACCTGTCCCCAGGCGAGGTTCAGCCACCTTACTATCTACGGTGCCAGCTATTATTCATATCTATACGCGAGGGGCCTGGCGGAGGCGGTGTGGCAGAGGCACCTGGCAGCGGACCCTTTGAACCCGGAAGCGGGTGAGAGCACGGGCAGGCGAGGGCGCGGCTGCACAGGGGGTGCACAGCCATGGTGCGATGCAAGCACTGCCAAGTCGGTGGCAGCCAGCCAAGAATCTTTGTCACGAGGATTCCTGTGTGGTGTTGTCAGTTCGACTTCTTGGCTGCTGCATCTCGCCATCTCCAGCCCGCCCACCCTAGCACCTGGACCACTTCAACCACACCTCTCCCACGAGCACCAGGCACACGCGTGCGAGAACACACATACACACACACACACACACACAAACACACACGTGAACACACACGATCAGGCATGGAGATTCGCAGGCAGCTGCTTGAGCCGGGCGGTGCTGTGGAGCCGCTGGACCTGGTCTCGGGGATACTGGGGGGCCGGGAGCAGCTGCAGCACTGGCACGGAGGCTGGAGCCCCCAGCCAGACGCCCTCATCCGCAGCCTGGCCGCCAGCATGCGGGGAGCCGGCGGCGGGGGCGGCGGCGTGGCCGCCGCAAGCAGCAGTGGAGCAGCGCAGGCCACACAGCAAGACCGTGGGGCTGTGGCTTTTGCGGCGCCGGGGGCTTGAGATGTCCCGGGAAGCCGCAGCAGGCCTGGGTGTTTCAGAGACTCTCAAACCTTGATCGCCTCCCTGGTTACAGAATTTTTACAGCGAGCGAGGCTTGCCTTCATGCACATCAGCCTGAGTGCCAGTTCGCCAGGCATTGTAACTACCCAATTCGGGGCGATTGCAGTTGTACACCAGGAGCACAGATAAGGCAGCATACAAGGGGGGCTGCAGAACAGAGATTTATAGCAAAAAGCAAGCAGACTCGTTCGGGTCATGCATCCTGACGCAGCTGCATCGTTTAGGGCAAAGGCCAGTGTGGCCCCACGTATGTTGCCGCCCACCGCACACAAGCAGTCCTTGCGATCGAACCACGGCATCAAGCAATCCTGCCGACCATGCGACAAGCCATCAAAACCATAATGCCGACGCGCCCGTCCACATTCCCGTCACAGGTCGAACGTCTGCGCCAGCGCCGGGCAGCTGCTCCATACCTGCACCTCTGCGCCCGCGTCTGCCCACGCCTTTGTCAGCTGCTCTGATGCCTTGGCCGCGCCGGCCGAGTCGCCCTCGGCTGTGAGCGCCTCTGTCAGGCCCGTGAGCGACCAGCCGTTGTTGGGGTGCTGCAGGAGATCCTGGCAAGCAGGTTCACAATTTCCAGGAGGGTGATGATATCAGCGGTGCCCGGGCCTTCAATTGTTATGGGCTACACCCAAACATGCAGTTTCAGGACTGGCTGTGTTGGGCTTTGCAAGGATGCAGCTGCGCATTGTGTCCTGTCGGGCCATCAAAAAGCTCGGTTCTACAGAGGTACGATGCTGCCCCGCACCTTTCTGAACACATCAGCCGCCTCAGCCGGCCTGCCGGCCTGCAGCAGCACAAAGCCCAGGCACTGCCGCGTCGGCTGGTGGGAGCGCGGCGGCTCCATGTAGCCGAGGCCCTCCTCCTCCGCCAGCGCGTCCTGCAGCTGGAGGATGGCCTGCGGAGAACAGCAGTGGTTGGGTACATGGGGGCACCCGGGTTGGATTGCAAATCCATTTTGCTTGGCGACTGGCAGGTAAAAGCCCTACTGCAAGCTGTGACTGCCGGTCTCCTGAGGATGCGAGCCACTTTTGGCCAGATGGCAAGCATGCGGAAGCAGCGACTGGGCGCTAGTGGGCGATTGCGGCAATGATGGGAGGCAGCACGCGGCGTGGAGGCAGTCTTCGCGCCCGCTCTGGCTCAGCGGTGTGTGGACGCGCGCCTGTGAAGTGTGGTTGAGCATGAGCGCGATGCGCGCCTCCGCCACTGCGCCGTGCATGCGGCCGAGGGCCTGGTAGGACGACGCGTAGATGCCCAGGGCGGTGCCGGGGCGCGTGGGAGTCTCCGTAGGGATGGCTCTGATGGCGGCCTGCAAGAGGAGGGATATTTCGGGTTGGGCCGGGTGCGTTTAATGCGCGAGTGGGCACGAACGAACATGTTAACATTGTGCCCGTATAATTGCAGGTGCTGGTCGCCTGCACTGGGCGTATCACGTCATTGCAGATTGCTATCACTGCATGGTGATCGCCACCATTGTGCCATGTAGGCCTTGTCGCCCCGCCGTCAATCACCATAAGCGCACACATGCACACGCACACACACACACACACACACACACACACACACACACACACACACACACACACGCACGCACGCACGCACGCACGCACGCACACACCAAGCCTGCGCGCTGCCCACCCTAAGCAGCCTCATCTCGCCGGTGACGTCATCCAGCCGCGCCTTGGCACCCTTTGCCGCCAGGTCGTACGCCAGCTGGTCGTCCACGGCCAGGGCGCGGCGGCTGTACGCATCGGCGCGCGCCGCCATGGCCAGCACGCGCACAAATCGGTACACGACCTGAGGGCATCACAGGGGTGAGGGGTCGGGAGGTGAAACAGGGCCCAGGCCTCCACGCTGGGCTGGGGGTGGGCCATTAAGGTCCGCCGGGTATGCAGGAGGAGGGGCAGGACAAAATGACAATGAAGGGGTGTGCAGCTGGCGCTAGGGAGTGCGGCGGCCGCGAGCCATTTTGCCTGGTATGGGCCACCCTTGTGAGGCGCAGCTGGAATGGTTTGAGTGGCTGGATGTACTCGTAGATGCGCAAGCATGTATGGACACAACAAATTGGAGGCATGACTGAGGCAGCCTGATGCACGAAGGCGCAGGCGCCTTCCCGGCCCACCTGTGAGTACTGCGGGCCCCCGTGGGCCCCGCCGCCGCGCGCATCCTGCGGCGGCTCCGACAGCTGCAGCACCTTGCGCCACTCGCCGTACCTTGGGGGGGGTAGGTTCGACCAGCACAGTGCTTCGAGAGGGGTGGTGCCCAGTCCATAAGACATCGAATGCACTGTTGCGCTCCAGTCCACGGCGCCTATATCAAGCAACTACCGAAGGCGCTGCCTGGCCGTGATAGCCCCAGCCCCCGGCTATCGGCATCCAGGAGTATGAGGCGCCCCCCTGACCTGGCCAGCACCAGGGGCAGGCTGGTCCAGTCATTGCCAGGGGAGATCCATTTGGCGCCCACGCGCTCCCGCAGGCTGCGGACGCCTTTTGCGTAGGCTTCGGCGGTGTGGAGCTGGCCGCCCATGCTGAGTGGGCAAAAAGCGATTGGGAGAAGGGTGCTTTGACTCATCACGCACGTAGCGGAGTGTGTCGTGCGCCCGAGTGCATGCATGCATGTGCGCATGCTCGTTTACTTGCATGCACACACTCGCCCTCGCGTGCACTCACACACTTGCACATGGGCACACGCACGCATGCATGCAAGCAAGCATACTCGTCTATTCTCATACACATGCATGTGCACACATTAACATGCATGCAGGAATGCACCCGCATACATATGCATGCATATGCACAGACACACACATACACACACGCAAAGGTGCACACAGGCACGCGCACGCGCACACACACAGACACATAACCCACAGACTGCAGCAATCCACACACGCACATGGGCAAAGGCGCGAGGCTGCCCCTGTCGCAACCCACCTTGCTGCGTATATCAGGAGATGTATGTTGTGCTCAGGCAGGTAAGGGGTGATGCAGTGGGTGCTGCGGCTGACATCAAATTCGTAGGCCTTCTTGTTGGACTCCACTGCTGTTTTGTAGAGGCCAACCCTGGGGTTGGGTGGTAAGGGGCAGGGGACCAGGGGTGAAAAACTGGCTGCTTGCAGCGAGAGAATTTTGAAAGGCGTTGCTGACAGTGTGATGCGACATTGCAGGGGGAGGAGAAATGGACGGCTCAGCTGCAGGCAGCCCTGCAGACTTGCGAGTCAAGACGCTGCAATGCACGGCCCCCGAAGGGGCTGAGTGACCAACACTGCAGCGCCCAGGATGAGCTTGCTGGTCGATTGGTCCTTGGCTGGCCAATCCAGAAAGGCAGAAGCCTGGCATTCCTCCAACCTGGGAGTTCTCGCCCGCACCTGACAAAAGTGTGAGACGGCATGTGGATCAGGTGCCCGTGCTGCGCCGCAAGCGCTGCCAGCTTCTCTGCGCTGCCCAGGCCGCGCCCCGCCCATGATGCCCGGTCACCGCCAGCGCCCTCCAGCGTCGGCGCTGCCGCCTCCGTCACATGCACGTGAAGGTGCAGCGCAAGGGGGTGGTGCTCATCGATAGCCAATGCGCGAAGCAGCTGCTCCTCTGCTTTGACTCCCTCGGGGCGCAGGTTGCCGAGGTTAGTGTAGTAATCCCTGTGGCAGGGGGTGGGGCAATTCCTTGGCAATTGCGGGTGTCACGGTGTTGCTTATAACGCACACAAGGCTGCCCTGCACACAAAAAGCAGGGACCTCTCCTGGCGTGAGCTCACCAGGGCTTGAGGTTCATGAAGGCCTCCGCCGAAAGAGCAAACACGTCGGCATCCTGTGGCAAGGTCCAAGCACCAGGGCTCCACTCATAAGCCTCACAAGCGGCACAGCAGGGCCAGCTTGGCTGATGGTGGATGAGGCAGCTGCCTGTCAGGGCCCCGCCGTCGCATGTCTCATTAATTGTTTCCGCCCCCCCCCCCCTGTAATGACCTCCAACACACACAGGCCCGCCCAGCTGCTGTCCCCCCAGTCCGCTGTCGACCCGCACACGCAAAGTCGCTGGCCCCCTCTCCCCACGCCGCCCCCCCCCCTTATGAAGCTTCGTGCCGCCTGCAACCCCATGCGCACTCACATTGCCGAGCCGCTCCCCCAGAGCCGCCAGCGCCTCCGCATACTCGCGCTCCTGCGCGTACCATTGCTCACCGCTGCCCCTCACAGCCAGCGCTGCGCTATGGAACCTGAGGCAGCGCCATGACGAGTCGCCTTGCTGGGTAGAAAACACACGTCGCAACAACAGGTGCGCGTCGCTGTCGCTGAGAGACACCAACGCCACCGCAGTAGCCGCTGCTGCAATTGCAAGCTTCGTTGCTCTCGCGACGCTGCCGCTGCAGCAGCAGCACAGCAGCAGCACCTTGGAGGAGCCGCTTCCCGAAGCAGTGCCCACCCAGCATCCCCAGCGCCCCGCACCTCCTGGCCATCAGCTCTGCCAGCTGCAGCTCCCGCTGCAGCAGGTCGGTGTCCCCGTCGCCGGCCTCCACCGCGTCCTTGGCCATCTGCAGGGCTTTCTTCGCGTGGTCCTGCGGGATACAGAAGCCCGTTGACAGGCCAGGATGGCAGCCAGACGGGGGCTAGTGTGAGTGAGGGCAGGGGAAGCTGCAGATGCAGAGTGAAGGCAGGGGCAGCTGCAGGGGAAGCTGCAGGCGCAGAAGCTGCGAGTTCCTATAGCGGCGTGAACTCGCGGGGCTACTTTGAGAGGGGGGCGTGATGCCGCGGGGAGCATGGGTGGAGGGGGCCCGCACCTCTCCAGCCTGCGCGGCCGAGCGCGTGAAGACGGGAAAAGGGTCGCCCTCCTGGCCCGTCACCACGTTGGGGTAGGGGCCAGATGCATAGGCCAGGCCCCACTGGCACCTGTGAGCGAAAAGTAACACGCATGGCCCACATGAGACTTCTGAAACATTGAGAAATGCTGTCACGATGAGTACGGCGAGGACGGATTGCAGGACGCCAGGCGAGGCCCCCGAAGGCTCGTTTGCACCGTTGGCTCGACTCAGGCTGGCGTCTGCGGGCGTGGCCGCTCACATGGTGCACTTGGGGTCGAAGCGAAGCGCCGCCTGCGCACACATGCAGGTGACGGGGCATCAATAGCAAGCCCCCCAGCATGGAGGAGGCAAGGACACGACGAGAAGCGATTATGCGAGTGCCTGCATCAGAACCCCCGGCGTGACCAAGTTGCCGGCGCCATTGCTCTTGACGCACGCCGCATGCATCCCAGATGCAGTGCCCCGGCATCATATAATCGTTGGCGCGTATTTTGAGGCGGTGCAGCTGACCTCAAAGTTGACCGCAGCCTCCTGGTGTTCGAAGCCCCATGCCTGCAGCAGCCCCAGGTCAAACAGGGCTTGCGCATGCTCCGACTTGCTTGATATGGGCCTAGACGGGGAGGTGTCATGAGGACAATAGGGGATGGCCCGCGTTGGCCGCAGCTGGGCACGGCGTGTCTGGAGGCCAGTGCCGGTCAATGCATGGTGGTGGCCCGGGGGCGCGTTGGCGTTTGCGCGATCGCACACGGCTGCTGCCGCCGCATGGCGGGGTGGCGGGCCAAATGCATGGAGCGAGGAGCTGCGCTTGCCTCACCTGTGGGTGGCTTTGTCCTGGCCGCCCATAAGCTTGACGCGGTCGGTGTCACTCAGGGGGAAGCACCTGGGCTCGCGGCGTTCCCCTTGAGCTGCCGAGCGGCCGCCTGGGCGCGAACCGGGCGATGTGTAGCTGAGGACCAGCAGGAGTGCGCTAACAGCTGCCAGGACGAGGGCGCCGACCTGCCACAGGGGCAACCTGCGGGCCAGCATGGTGCGTCGCAACATGTTGAGGGCAGGGTGTGCAACGGCCCACGTGCGGTCCGTCAGGGGGGCATGGCGTCACCTGCCAGGCCGCGAGCCCCTGCGCGGAGGAACCCTTCCACCATCGTCCGAATCACTGTCGGTTGTCTCCTGTAAAAGAAACGGGACCGGACGGTCGGGATCAGCATTCCATGTGCAGAGGGTAGTAGGTGTCAAGATCGCGTCTACGGGCCCTCACTTTCGGCCCCACTTGAGTATTAAAGCTACGCCTTCTTGGTATTGCGGATGTATGCCTCATTCGGTCGGGCCTGGTCGATACTCTCTCGGCACTGATCTTGCTTTTCGGCGCGCTTGTATGTTGATTGCTGAGGTCACACAAGCGATCACGATGTTCAGTTTTATACTGTGTGGCGATGGCTGCTACCGGTATATGGTGCGCCTACCCCACGGCGGCCGCCTGATCGACGATGACGCCGTGTCCACTTTATGACACTTCGGCGCGGGGTCCATTGGAGTCCACACAAGCAAAGACCTGCACAGTGTCACGACACAGTAGCCGGTATCCTAAACTTTGATACGTGCCACCTTTCTGCCTGACCGACCAAAACACATGCCTGCACATCATGTGCGGTGCTGCAGCACGACAAAACCCCAACTGCGCCCTTAGGTTTGTTTGCATGCATGGGCAGCCCCCACGCATCACGGGTGAGCTGCCTCTGCTCGCAGCATGGCATTCACAAGTGTGCTTGGCTACTTGTTGTCTCTGTATCATGGATTTTCCAGATGAAGCTGGTGGTGCATTCAATGTAATCCAGCAGCAGCCGGCAAGCCGATGCCTCGTCATCCTCGCATGCAGGCAGACACGATTGCGCACATTCATCATCTGCAACCACCTGTGATGTGATGCTGCCCAAACACCCACGCAGCCTTGGCCAGCAATGTGGGGTTTGCAATAATGCCGCGTTCCCGAAGACTCGCGGCCGCGCCCATCGCAAACGATCCTCGTCTCAATCTACTGCCTGTCGCCCCAGCGCGCGC